CTATCAATTAGACAAATCCTTCCAGAGAGAGCTGGTGCAGGTGTGATGACGGTGCTTAATCTGACAACCTGTGCAAACTCTTTTTCCTGGAGGGACAGAGGCGCCTTTGAAGGTTCTACAAGATAAACTGTTGACATAGTTGCATGAAGTGGTAACTGCACCACAAGTTTACACATCTATCTTCCAAATGCAGTTCACAAACATGCAAAATTCCTACCTCTAAATTAAATTCTCCTTTCAGGGCAAGCTAAAATTCAAGTAAATTGAAATGAACATAAAAAGGAGAAGAAAGAATTTTGTGGCTTGAGATTACTTTTGCATCTTACAGATCACATTTGATTTTGATTTGTTTTTCCCCTAATCCTAGGGAGAGAAAAAAATATTCAAAGTTTAAAGGGACTCCTGCAATTTGTTTTTGATTACATGGGAGACTGCATAATAAATTAAAAGCAGATGAAAACAGAGTTAAGTGATCCTGAGTGTTTCAGTGAATTAAGATCCCTTATTCTCAAAGCAGAAATACCATAATAAGGTCCATGATCACTAAGACAGAAGTTGCGACCAGGAAGATAATAGTGAGGAAGGGTGAAAGAGAAGGGTATTCTAGTTTCTTCTCTTCCTGTTTGGTTTTTTTTTTCATGAAAAGATGCTGAGTTCACTCTGAAAGGAGAAAAGAACAGGAAGCAGGTTTTGTCAACCCCTTCACCATTTTTCTGATAATCTTCTCTACACCCCATCAAAATCCAGTATCCATTTGTCTCAGGTTATCAGTCTGGACTCTGGCCAGCTTACAGATAATGCTAGCAGTATTCCAGGCAGTCTCTCTGATCATCATCTAAATTTGCTATAACTGAGCTGTTATGAAAATTCCTTATGCCCTGTGCAGCCATAAGAGACGCTGGCAAATTGTTCTTTTCCTGTTCTGAATATGAAATCAGCTTCTCATAATTACTTCCCTTGCTTCAGTTTTAAGGTCAACAATGCAGGATAAAACACAAAAAACCCACTGGGGAAACAGGCACAGAGCAAAGAAAAAAGAATAAATTAACCTAGAAAATATGAGTAAACCGGTCAATTTTTTAGATTGATGTGGCATCACAAAAAAGTTACGTGCTTTCTTATACAATACTATAAACCATACTTTTACACAAAGTTCTGCTGTTCCTCATATTGGAAACCATCCCTGACAAAGGCTTATCTACATTAGACAATTCCTGCATTGAAGGCTACAGACTGCATTCACAGTCTCAAATATGCAGCAACCCTCACTGAACAATTTTAAGACTAGTATCCCACCTTTACTACATAACTTTTCAGTCAGGTTAGCCATGTCCATATGACAATACAAACTCAAGGCTCTATACTAACATCAAGCGTTTGGCAAATCTCAACATAGGAGGTTTCTTTTCCGGAAATTCATTAGCAATTCTCACTTTAATTTCTTCTGTCTTTCTTAGGATAAACTGAGTACTTAAAACGTATCACAGCAGATTACTAAAAAGTTACTATATTAAGTTATGAAATAATGCAGTATTCGTATTTTTAAATCAGAAGCTATCAGAAAAAAACTCCATCAAATACCACCTTTGCAAAAATCTTACCAAACCACCTTAGCCAACACTTCATTATAAAGCAGTAAGAAAAAAAGGAAGAATATTACAAAGAAAATAACTTATAGCAACCTATATGATTATCAGAGTTCTTCATAATACTAACAGGTTCCAATAGTCTAATTTTTCTAAGCAGAATTTTTAAAAGGTATGAAAACCCTGGGCAATATACATCAACTTGAGAGTGGTACTCTGCTTTTCCTGGAGCTGATCTGAATAATTTCTACTCCTTCAACGCAGGATTTAAAATTCACTGCATGATATTGCAATTACTGTAAGATTTATTTCACTGTATTATAAAATAAAACATGCCTTTTTGGCATGGAGTTCTCATTAGCTATGTGCTAACACAGCATCTGAAATCTGCTCTTGGGCACTGGAGACAGAAGAAGGAACTGGCATTCAAATTTCTCTATTCAGTAGCCTCACAGGAGTCAGAATCAGTAGGGAGACTTTACCGACTGTATTCTCTCCAGGTATTGCTGCAAGGTAAAGCTCGGGGTCATAAACCAACTTTACAGGCTCCTTATCTTAACAGCTTGCTATTAAAACAGTCCTCCACTGGATGCATCCCACTTACTGTGCATACGCTATGCAGATGATCAGCAAATGCTCAACAACTTAGATGGTGTGGCTCACTGTGCAGAGAACTCTACAAGAAATTACACAGATTCTGGATCTCGCATCATGTGCTCTCTGGCTCAAGACACACACCATGTGCCCAGGGAGCTGAGGTTACTTGAGTCTCTGTATCTAGAAACCAGCACATCTGACTTATCGCATGAGTGCAGAGGGCAAGCGTATATATGTTGTTCAGGCCCATCCTAAATTAAGAGTCCAAGTAGAATGTGAAGAGTAGAAGCTAGCAATATGAAATCGGAAAATATGAGCAAAGGTAAGTGCACAGCAAAAGAGAAATAAAAGTCCAACTTCTATTAGAAACACAAAATGCATGCAAAAATCCGGATATCAATGCATGGGTGTTGCGCTCCTCAAATTTTCTTTCTTTAACAGTCTTAAATTTTCACACTGGTAACTACAGGTGTTATAAAGAAAGAGTCATAACTACCAAACAAGAAGAGGAAATCTCTATGAGCAGTTCTCCATTAACAAATGTTGTAATGCAAAGATCATTTCAAAATACAGTTGTTTTCTCAGTTCTTAGTCTACTAAAAAATTCACAGAAAAAAACTATGCCACTGTAAAATTCAGGTTAATTTTTATTACGCGGTATTTGAGAAGTCACACAGCAACTTCAGTGTTGGGCCCTTGTAAGGATCTGGGCAGTAGTTCTTTTTAGTTAATATTTCAATGTCATTTTGGTAAAAAAGAATAAAATTAATTATTTGCAAAATGCTTTAAAGGTTATTACAAATGTATTCATTATGCAATCACAAATCAACATTTTAAAACCATCTGCTTTGCTAAACTGCTTTTTCACAGCAGCTAGTTAGCATAACTTCAGCCTGCAAACAAGATTTTTCTAGAGATCTCTGTCAACTTACAAATACATAAAATGTTGTTGTGTTTAATCCGGCAGGCAGCAAAACACCACAGAGCCACTCACTCACTCCCCCCCCCCCACAGTGGGATGCGGGAGGGCATCAAAAAGAAGAGTAAAATTCATGGATTGAGATAAAAACAGTTTAATAGAACAGAAAAGGAAGGGAAAATAGTAATAATAATGATAGAATATACAGAATCAGTGATGCACAATGCAATTGTTCACCACTTGCCGAACAATGCCATCGCTATTTCCTGGACCACGCCTCTTATTTATATACCGAGCATGACGTCATATGGTATGGAATAGCCCGTTGGCCAGCTGGGCCAGCTGTCCCGGCTATGCTCCCTCCCAGCCTCTTGTGCACTTGTCAGAGCATAGGAAGCTGCAAAGTCCTTGACTACAGGGTATTTAGCAACAACTAAAACCATCAGTGTGTCATCAACATTCTTCTCATACTAAATCCAAAACACAGCACGGGGAAGAAATTTAACTCTATCCCAGCCGAAACCACAACAAATGTTTATAAGAAAAAAATATTAAGGCCTCATTGACTCAATTTCAGTGGCTATATTGGCAATTTTGGGAAAGTGAGGGAAGAAGAGGGAGAACAATTCGCTTGGGATTTCAAAAATAATTTTTTTTTTTGGTAACTCTCATCATAAACTCCTGAATGGCAGTTTTAAGTCACATCTCTCCTATACATGTAACTTTCCATGTACATATGAAGGAGATTGTTGCTACTACATGCATTTTAGCTTCTGTTTTTATATGACAGGTAATATTTTAATTAGTTTATTTTTTTATCACAATTAGAAGAATAGCTTTTAGAAAGCAATAATAAATCTAAATTATACAATAAAAAAATACTGTCCTATACAAACTAGAAGCACATACCTCCCAAATAACGTTCCTTAGAATACTGATTGGGGGTTTCTTATTAGTTTCTTAAAAGATCAGGATTTATTTTTATCTTCAGAGATGTCTGGAGAAGCTGATTAGCAAAGTATGCCTTAAAACCCAAGACACTGCTTTTAGTCTCCATTTTAATAAAGTTAATCACACGTACAAATATAATAATCTAATATAATCTAATTGAATAAAGGCAGAAAATTCCAATAGGTTAAAGATTCCATGAGTGCTCTTGTACTAAAGCCAGTACTCAAGAATTATAAACAATCTAAGTCTTCATGAATGAAATGGTTCTTAAAACAGCTTGCTGTATAATTTTGAAGATAAATCCAGTGATACATAAAACAAATACAGTGTTGCATATTAAGCAGTACTAGAGGCTACCAAGCCCACACATTTTCCAGCTGCTGAGAAAATCAACAAAGAGGTAAAACTGCCCAAAAGTTGTTATCATCCCAACAATTTGAAATTCTCTCCAGGCATTGCTGAATAACATGAACTCAAGATTCCAAAAATAAATCAAGAGCAACCCATAAACTGAACAGTATGTTTTGGCAAAGACAAAACTCTCATATTACGAAAGATGATCCAAATCTGAGTTATTAAAATTGAAACATTATCCAGCCATGAAATTTATTTAAATACAAGCATCTTAGCATTCACTATATAACTCCATTGTTAAAGGAAGTACCATGTAATATCTTGTCAGGAGGAAAATGAAGATAGAGCTGAGATACCTTTCAGCTAATTCTGTTGTCTTGAATGGCTACAGAAAAACTCACAACAGATTTGTGAAGCTCACTCCACTCCCAAGCTAGTAGAACCTGCTACTTCCAAAGATTCGCAACACAGGTGACTTTTGAAATCAGCCATAAGAATGCAGATAAAGACAAATAGAAAACAATACATTTTCCATTATGGAAACAATACCTATGAAAATATGCTGGGAAAAAAAAAAAAAGGGAAAAAATTACCTGGAACAAGTTCCATAACAATATAAATAGGTTGTCGTTGTGTGCAAACTCCTATAAGTTTTACAATATTAGGATGATCATACTGTTTGAGTATTCTGCAAAACACACAGTAAGTTTATTACATTAATAAACTTCATTGTACAAACTGATTAAATAATATAGGAAAATATCTTAAACCCCTAATGTTATTTTAATGGCACATGTCATTACTGTTATCATAAAGAAAAAAAAAATCAATGTAACAGATCAGTCATCATTCCATTTGAAACAGAGGGCATACTGACTCGCTAATAAATCAAGATTGAACACTGTATTATTCTTATTGTAATTTTACCATTTGTCTACATAACATTTGTCTGTATAACTGAAAAATGGCTTGACAGGCTTGCAGTTTCTCAAGAACCCTTGTACTTAAATAGCATTTCAGTGGTGGATCAGAAGCTGAGCTACCTCAAAAAAGCATGCACAGCATGCCTCTACACTTTCCTGCTGCACTTTTCAAATGCACACTCATTCCAATTTTACTTTAGAAACTAATTAATACAACAAGTTTTAAAAGAATATAAGGACAGCAATTTTAATTTTGGGAATTAAACAGAAACATTTACATCTTCTTACACAATACTTTAATAAGAACATTTGCAGCTTAAAACAGCATGCTATGATTTGTAAGTGAAATGAAGGGCAAGGAAGAATTCTACAGAGACCTTGTAACTTAAATGTTTCTTCTACTATTTGCTGACTTAAAGCACGTCCTCTTTTTCCCTTTTTCCCTAGGATCAAGACTAAAATACTAACCTATCTGGTACATACATATTTAGTGAGAAATAACACATTTCATTTTTTTTCAGACTAACACTGCTCCATTAGTGCCAGGCTGCTTAACAAATGAAACATCTCTGCAGTTGCCAAGTTATGAGCTGTTTAAAATTATTCAATAGATACAGTGGCTGATGTTCATTCTCTAAATGTAGATAGTATCTTTTACTTTTCCGTATTGATCATACTAGTTTGGGAGTAAAAACGAAAACATATGAAGCTTCATAGCAAGAGGGAACTAATTAATCTAAACAATTGTGAAATTATCTCAATACACCCCTCTATCCTGAGGTCTCAGAACCTACCTATCTACATCAGCCTATATTCATAATACTTAGCATATTGTGGCATGAATGTCATTTGAAAAATAAGTATGCAATCACGTGCTGCCTGACACAGCATAAAATATCTCTACTGGAATGAACTGTTCTTACAGAGAAAATTACTAAATGGGGTCTATACAGTAACCTAGCCACTTCTGATCAGCTCTATTAGTCATGCATGTAAGGTAGGATTTATGATGGGTATAATCACATTTAAATTAACAGCATCTTCCAGTCTTCTTATCCCAATCCTCATGGCACATCTCACAAGAAGTTCTAAATGGAAGCACTTATAATAACAAAATTGTGTTTTATAGGCACAGCGTGCTTTACCAAAGAGGTAGTTTCAGCAAGTGCAGATGCTACTGCATTCACACATTAAAAATGCCTATGTTTAGTTACCAGGGCAACAGTTGTGGAATGTACTGAAGGAAAGAAAAAAAGGAAGCAGTTTTAATACTGCTTCTTTGAATTTTTCTGAAGGTCGGATTTTGTAAACCCATCTAGTAATAGAATTTGAAAAAAAACCCACAACAAGTATATATTTCAATTAAATTTAGAGAACCTACCTGGCTTCTGACAGAAATTTTATTTTCAATTCCTGAGGAAGATCTTCTTTACAAGTTTTTACAGCAACAGGAGTTTTATCTTTTAATGTTCCCTTATACACCTCACCAAAATTACCCTGAAATCAGGGGAAAGAAAAAAAATCATTCTAAGTAAACAAAATCTTCACAAATCTCCAGAAAAATAACGCAGACAGCTAATGTAACTCATATGGAACTTTGAAATGTGTTTATGAAATGAGTTTTTCTTCCAGTATCTGCCCCTAACACAATGCAGTTCACATAGACATAGTACCTCTATTATATGGACATAGCGTATGAGTTCTACTATGACCTTGTTGGCAAGAGAAAAAAATACATTAATTGTGTAATTTTCTTATAAAACCTCTTAGTAACTTCTAAAGCCAACGCTGATAGTAGTACTTTTTTTCTCAATCTCACTCCTGCACTCTTTCATTTTCACACTACTGTATTTTATCAATAGTTTTTAACTTGCAATCTGTAAGAGACCAAAAGACGATCTGTGAAACTAGGACAAAACACATCAAAATAACATAAACATTCTCACATATACAAGAAAGAAAAAACGCAAAGTAAGAAAAATGAAAACACTGTATATTAATTGTGATTGTAAATTTAAAACCACTGCAAAAAAATGTATTGCCATGTCTGCCCTGAAAAAGTTACATGATCCACAATTTTTTTAAAAGCTAAGCTCAGCACTGCTCTATATAGGCAAGTATGTAAAGCGTCACATTTGGACAAGACTTTAGAAAGTAGATCCTTTTATAATAAGATTTTTTAGGTCTTCAACAATATACCCCCCAGGGTAAGTTTTTTAATTTTTTAGCTTTCATAGAAGAAAACTGAAATAATAAAGACCACAGAATAATCTCCATCAGATGTATTTTTTACTTAAATAAAAACAAAAGGAAAATTAATTAGGGGACAAATTGAAGGAAGAAGGAAATTGTGCAGTATATAACAAAACACTGGTATCAATGAAAAAACCCAAGAGAAGAAAAAAAACCAAAACTGAACGTCTCATACTTTTAGTTAAGTTTTGTATTTCCCAAAGAATAAATACAACTCAATTTTAAATCTACATCTGACAAATTTCCACGATTCCACTTCTGTGTCCTGGTATCCGGGGCTGCATGTAACTTCAAGAAACAGCAAAACTCTGCTGAAAATGTTTTCCTTTCTTTCCTGAGTGGTGAAGATTTCTTTACATCATGAATTTGAATACTGTATTGCCAAAGGAAGAAGACAGAAAACGAAAAAAAGAAATTCACAGATGGAAAACAGTACCGCACTGCTTGTAATAAGGAAAGAAATTTAGGCCTAAACACAGGTTTCCAGTATTATTTTATATATCCTAGGATAAGAAAGATATAGCTGGCAAGCAAAGCATAGGATCTATGACAGCAATCTGCCCTTCTAAAATAGCCAGGACACTACCTCTAATATCTAAACTGGCAGGAGGTGCCCAAAGGTAGGAAGCTGAGTCACTCCCAACACACTTTCCCTCTAGCCTTCTGGTCAGAACTATTTAACAGTGAAAGCTGAACCCACCTTAAGGACTACTTAAGTATTGAAAATGCTTTTTTTCTTTATTTAAAATATTTAATTATCATTATATATATGATTTTTAATATAACATGTTCCTTTCATATAACTTTCATTTTGTGGGGTATTATAGAACTAATACTGAGTAAATAAACAGACTATTCACTCCTGAGGTGAAGGAAAATCTTTGTCTTTTCTAAAGTTTGCATCCTCTTATGCATTAAGCTTTCATGATTTTCCTCCTCATCTTTTCCAGGCCACTTAAGATTTTATAGAGCCTCAGATTTCTCACTTCCATGGTGAACAGCTGTAGTTTATATATCATTTTCTCGTACGGATGCTGATGGTCCTGTCATTCTTATCTTTTCTAGTTTGACTATATCTTTTTAGAGATGGATGCATAACAGATTCATACTGTGTTCCAAGAAAGTTTTTATCCTGTTCTGTATTTTTTAAAGAACATATCCTTCTATAAACACTTTTAAGCACTGACTTGTCTTTATTGAATGTTAAAAATGCTTTGTGCCAAAAACATGCAATGCACATGTAAATTTAGTTTACTAAATCTATCAATTTTCAGATTGCTTTAACTGTCTTTACTCATCAAGACTAATTCATACTTATTTTTTAGTAAGACAAAGCTTTTTTAATGCCTGAAACAACTTTATTTTTCTCCCTTGATACCATTCTGTTTAAGAATGTGAAGCTGTCATAGTACCTGCATTTTATGCAGATACAGCTCTGTCTACCGGCAGATAATACTCTCTGTCATCTTAGCTACCAAAGAGATTTTATCCTGGGTAACAGAATTTTCTGACAGTATTTAATTCCCCCATTTCTTGAACAGTTTATAAATTATTTTAGTGTGTATCATAGTAAGAAGGCAATTATTGCTTTCATTTATCTCTTCCTCATTTAAGCCTATTTTTCAGTTTTTGGGAAATCTTTTGGAACATAGTGTCCTGAGCGGCACCTGCAACTGTCTTTGAAGGGGTGAAAGTGCTAAAAATCTAAGTAAGGTACAGGGCTTACCTGATTTTAAAGACTTATAGCTCCTAAGCAGAATTTGTGATATAAACCACACTATAAAAGAATTAATTTAATACATATGCCATTGTGAAGTTACCTAACATTCAATAAATCATACAAAACCAACGAACACTTGTTTTAACAAATATTGATTTAATAATCTTATTATATCAAATTTTATACATAAATACATAAATTTTATACATAAACACATAAATCTGTTTATTTATGTTTTTATTTATATTTTGCAACAACATATTCTGTAACACTACACAAAGTAAAACAGCCACATCATGCTTTATAGAAATCTAGTTAGCTTAAAAGCCTTCCAAAAGAGAAAAATATGTATGCTAGTTAAACACTTTCAGCACACACATTATATCATTTACCAGTAAATGTGATTTACATTTGTTTAAAGCACAATGCTGTCCTGTGTATTAAAGTAAAAGAACTGATAGAATAATTGCATACCACAGTAATTTAAAAGATAAGGCAAATAGGAAATGTATAGGCTTAATGATTAATATATGCTTATTTAAATGTTATTTAGCTCACTTGATTACTTACTTTGCCCAGTAATTCTCCCAGCGTGACATCTTCATGATTGAGAACCCATTTCTTATCCTACGGAAAGAAAAGGAAAGAAGAATTTTCAGTCTGTAAAAATATGTAACATACAGTTTCTGTAAGATACATTTCAGTAGAAATGGAGCTAAAGAAGCACTATATTCAGACCACTCAATCAAAAGCATGCCAGGAAGTTATAAATCTAAGTGTTTATAAAACAGAGTTTAAAAAACTTGCTATACCATAAAATATTGAAATATACGATATAGCAAATTTCTATCAGAAGACTAAGCCTACAACGTGACAGTAGGTATGTAGATAGAGCACTATGCACATTTTCACAGAAGCTCTGGAAATGATATCTAGCGCCCTGTTTTTAACAACTACTTGAATCAAAATCAGATAAGAAAACTTCATTTTAGTATATGAAATAAATTATTGCTAGAATCAAAAAAACATTTTTCTCCTCAGCATACATGAAAAAAAGAACTCATTTTTCTACTTATTAGCAAGACACATATTTGTCTCTCTTCTGTCTTCTGTGGTAGTTGAAATATTACAGGCAACTACTTGAAAAGAAAACATAACAAATGCCAGTTAAAGTATCTGTTCAGTGTTGATGACCAACACTGCAAATACTCTGCAACAGCCTAAAGACGTATCAAAAACAATTATAAACTTCTTGCCACACAGACATATTTTAAAAATACTTAGCTAAAGTGTTCAGAGTAGGATATTTTAAGTCTAACCCATATTTACTATTTTTCTATTTTATTTCTCTGTTAGCACCTCATCTACTTATCACCTTACAAACACTATTACTGATCCTCATGTCCTAAGCATTCTTTATTACTAATGAAAAAGGCAAATATCTAAACAAGCATATGCCAACTCATTAAATCATTTCTCATTAAAGCCCACAGAAAACCAAGCCAAACATGCTGGCTTTGAAATACACCTAATATATCAGATTACCAGGTTTTCTGGACTACGGAGGACCTGTAGTGATCCTGACCAGAAGACTGTCGTGCATCGAAGTGTTAGTGATCCACACAACAGCTATCCGGAGTGAGCCCAGGCTTGTGCTGTGCTGCACAACTCCCTTGGCCATGGGATGAACTCATTGCAACAGAGCCCGCAGGCAGCTCCCACTGGGTACCAGCAATTACGCCACCTGCGTGGCTTTGCCTTTATCTACAAGTGCTCCACGAAGTTCTCACATGAATGTCCTTTCTGTTTGCCAGCAGAAATAATGAACAGAGCTATTTCCTTGTAAGAAAGTCCTGTTACAGCTTAAATGACCAAAATGTGAGAATCTGTGCTACAGTAAGAACTGCCCAGCATCCTGCACATGGATCAGTGGCCCATTCATTGCTACACCACCTGGGGCTCCCACCGTCTAAAGGGATGCAAGATTGTCTATACTATTCTCTCCTTATAGTGTTAGCTCTAATAGATAGTATTTTAAATGATACCTTACAGACTCTGAGTGCCTTTCTTACTAGGATCATAACAGCACCTCCTGATGCAAAACAGGATCTTTCCAATGTGTATAAATACCTGATGGCAGGGAATGAAGAAAAGGGAGCCAGACTCCTCTCAGTGACAGGACAAGAGGCAATGGACACAAATTAGAAAACACAAAATTCATTCTGAACATGAAGAAACACGTTTTTAGTGTGAGAGTGGTCAAACACCAGAACAGGTTACCCAGAATGATTTGGGAGTCTTCATCTGTGGGAGTCTTCAAAACCCAACTGGAAACAGCCCTGGGAAACCCACGTAGTTGAACCTGCCTGAGTAGGGGGGTTAGACTAGAGAATTCCAAGAATACCCTTCCAACCTAAATGAGCCTGTGATTCAAAGACACAGAAAAACTTTCTGTATGTAGAACCACAGAATAGTTTGGGTTGGAAGGGACCTTTAAAGATCATCTAGTCCAACGCCTCTGCCATGGGCAGGGACATTTTTCACTAAATCAGGTTGCTCAAAGCCTAATCCAACTTGACCGTGAACACTTCCACTGATGGGGCACCCACAACTTCTTTGGGCAACCTGCTTCAGTGTCTCACCACCCTCATGATAATAAATTTCTTCCTTGTATCCAATCTAAACCTACCCTAATTCAGTTTAAAACTGTTTCCCCTTGTCATAGAATCATAGAATCATTAAG